ACGTTTAATAAATATTATTCATAATGAATTAATGCTGCAGGACGACGGTTAATGCGGTAACGAGTACATTAACGATTATGAGTACGATGGTACGATGGTTGAAATGCCTATAACGCGGTGATAACGATGTGCATGCTCTTAGAACGATAACACGCTCGTAATGATGCTACACATTGTCATAAAATACTATCATGTTTGCAATAATGACACTCACTCGCCTAAAATCAGGCATGCCTATAAATCCAACTTATTTGCCTACATCTTGAACCCTTAGCTCGCATCAACAATAAAACGAACATATTTGCCTGAATGTCGAGCACTCAGAGCATGCCGATAATAATCCCAGTTTATTTACCTAAATCTCGTAAACCTTAGCACATGCCAATGATAAATCCCATTTATTTGCCTAAATATCAAACACACTGTAGATGCCGATAACAAAACCGGGTTATTTGCACAAATCTCGAAACCCCCTGGCACATTCACGGATCGTCGATTGCCGGTTGCGTACGTTCACAAGTGACTCACGAAAACTCGGCACCCAGCAAACTCTCCCTCATGAATTCCCGCCCCGCGCACTCGCGACTCTTCAGGGGAACAACGCCGCAAGCCATGGAACAGCGATTTCGCAGCACCGACTTTCATAAACTCCAGAAACATCCATGAATTCCATGAACATCCATGAATGCCATGAACATCCATGAACTTTATGAACATCCATGAACATTCATGAACGCCATGAAGATCCATGAACTCGACCTGGCTCGCGAAATCAACTCGCGCTTAACCACCTGTGGCAAACTATCTCTGCGTTATACGCAACCTCGGACGTTCGGGGTCGCCACGAGAGGGCGCCTCTGTGTCACCTTGACGGGTCGGCCGTTGGGGTTGAGGCAGATGATGCCGTAGCCCTCCTGCACGGCTCGTCGGATGTAAGGAAGCTGTGTACCCTCATCCAGATTCTTATTGATTGCCAGACTGAAAGAGAAAGGGAACGGTGGGTAAAGGGAGGAGGCGGTGTATAAGGGGATAGGGGCGAGGTGTCCGACACGTGTTAACATGATAATGACGTTGCCGACTCGTTGTTTTGATTCTGTCCATTCTTCGACCCATGACTTTTCCTGCTCCCTCCTACGTCTTCGTCTCGTCTACGCTCCCCCTCACATGTCTTCTTACCCATGACATTCCCTTCTTCCCCCTCACCTCCTCCCCCTCATATATCTTCTCTCCTCCCCTTCCCCCTCCCCTCCTCCCACTCACACGTCTTCTCTCCTCCCCTTCTCCCTAACACATCTTCTTCCCCCTCACCTCCTCCCCCTCACACATCTTCTCTCCTCCCCTTCCCCTCCCCTCCTCCCACTCACACGTCTTCTCTCCTCCCCTTCCCCCTAACACATCTTCTTCCTCCTCACCTCCTCCCCCTCACACGTCTTCTCTCCTCCCCTTCCCCTCCCCTCCTCCCACTCACACGTCTTCTCTCCTCCACTTCCCCCTAACACATCTTCTTCCCTCCTCACCTCCTCGCCCACATGCCCGGTAGGACCTGCCCGCTCCCCGGAATGATGAGCAGCAGCTTGTGTTTCGTCATGGCGTCGCGCGACGCGTAGACGTACGACGCTCGCTCGTCCCTCGTCCCGTCGATCTGGCAAATCAGAAGTCGAACGCACGTCAGATGCATAGACGCGACGTTCCTGACATTCAACATACGCCAGAAGACGGATAGACGCGACGTTCCGGCGCTGCCGCAAAACCGCACTTCTTTGCGGTGTTTTGTCGCCGTGGTTAAACTCGTATGAAACAAGCTAATACATAACAACTTAGGAAAAGTTACATTTAATTCATCATCATGATAAGTCATCCACCCATTATCAACTTATCTATTTTTAATCTCTCTACATGCATGATGCATTATAATACAAAAGCGATAACGGCTTACCGGAATAACCAATCTGGTGAAATTAAACTCATCCTCCAGTAACTTCTGCACATACTCTGCAACCAGCTGCGATACGATAAACAACAGAATTACGACCATGCTCAATAAAATCACCTTACTAAGTTCCAGTAATAATCTCATCATTATTTGTTCAAATAACAATTATTAATTATTAATTATACGTTCCAAATCGGCACTATTACACGTAGTATTATTAATTATATATTATTCTTATTAATTATTATTATATATTATTATTGTTACACACTGAAACACAAGTGTCGAGGTATACTGGGACATTTTACTTGACAGCTGGGAATTTTAACTCGGTAACAAACGTGCTAAGTATGTAGCGCCCTCTGTTGTCTCACAGAGGATTTACAACAATGAACCGCTTACGTCTGCCAGCGCCTCGTAACGTTTCTGATTGTAACTGGGACTCGCCGAAACCTTGAACTCAAAAGCGCCGCCGCCGTCGATCTTCGCAAGCTTTCCATCTGCAACGGTAGAAAAACACGGTAAAAAAACCTAGAATAAATCGGTTTGGCAGAAAAAAACGATGAAAGTATGCACTCGCCGGCACACCAAAGCCACGTTTACGCGCAAAGCGCGTCGCGTAAGTGAGAATCTGCAAAGATCCTAATACTACACAAGTTACTCCACTAGCTTCATGCTGTGGAATGTAGGCAAAGAAACATGTTCAGCACCCATTAAATATCGCTTTTAGATCCCCCCGCCCACCCACCCCTCCGAGAAGTCAGACTCCAGAACTACAGACCATCTTTTTCTACTGCAAGGTAGTGCCTGCTCCACACGACACTGACAATCTTAATAGCCAAGAGGCGCCGCCTACAAATTGCCAATCTATCCGCTCCCGACCACGTCATTTTCTTTCTTTCTTTTTTTCGCAAAACGCGAGCAAAATTGATACGGCGACCGGGATGTAATAAAATGGGCGTACAAATGCATAAACGCCTAAACATACATATTTCATGCTTGAACACCGGAATCGGCACAAATGTTTTTGCAATGAGTTACGACATGGCGCTACCCGATCGCAAGTTGCCGATCCTCGAATCCGTATGCCGGAAGCCAAATTTGCAACTTACACACATACCATACACACACACGCACGCACGCACGCACGCACGCATGCACGCACGCACGCAGACACACACACACGTACACACGCACGCACTCACGCGTGCACACACGCACGCACGCACGCACGCACGCACACACACACACACACATAATGTTCGGTCCCACCCACAATGTTTGTGCACACGAAGCAAACGCGAGAAGGCGGGCGCATTCCAGCGAGCACTCTTTTCCGAAAAAAAACGACATACGATGAGAGATGATGTGATCGCGTAGCGTGCGGGCCGTCTCTATCTCTTCTGCATCAATTAACGGGAGGCTACATCGCTACACCACAAACACTTGCGCAGATATTTAACAGACACCGAGTTCACTCATCATTCAAGGAGCCACACTGGCAATCGCAGCCCTAGCTCTAGTACTGCAGCCCCCTCCTGCCACGACGGCTATAGTACTACAGCTATTTCAGACCTTCGAGTTAAAGAACATTGAAGGCGGCTTTCACATTCGAAACCATTAGTTTACTACTACCAACATCAGGAACACGACGTCAGTCGCTACATTTATCGCCGATGCTGGGGGAAATTTTCCCGATTTTCCCCATCACGTTTCTCCCTGCGTTCTACGAGATAAGCTCAACGTTAAAGTGATTACGTCACCGTAAATAGTAAAAAATAAAAATAATATTCCACTTTTTCACAAAATATAAGTAATTCTGTTCAATTTTTTATGGTTAAATTGCTGCATTATACTTCCTATTTTACTATATTGTTTGATGTGAACATACACTCGGGACTCATACATAGCCCGGCCCCATATAGCAAGCAATTAATTTTGGGAACATTAATTTAAATCGTCCAGGTTTTTTGGATTTTTAACTAGTTGAGAAACAATCTTATCAGGTAAGAATTTGACGATTTGTTTAGTCCCGTTAGTTCTTACTTTTAATGTAAAAAAATGGCAATTTTTTTTTTTACAAATTTTACCATAGAAAATTCGTGACGTAGTCAATTTAAGATTAACGTTAAGGGTTTAGACTAACGCTAGTTTCGTTTCTGACGACCGGTCTCATCACGAACATTCTCCCAAGCCGAATCTCCTCCATCCAGACTCACCTGCATCGTAGTGATATCCGAAGCCCTCTATCGTATCCGGGAAGTCCATCTCCGGAGCGGCGATGGGGGCGCTAGCGGGCGGGGCGGCGGAAAACTGCGGCGCGCTGCTCAGACAGGCGACGGGCGCCGACGCTACTGGCTGCGCCATGAGCGGACGCGGCGCTGCAAAGACGAGAACGTGCAAAGCTCGTTAATGTGATGTGTCCACTTTTCACAAAATGTAAATTCGGTTCCACTTTTTATGGTCAAATTGCTGCATTATACTTTCTATTTTGCTATTCCGTTTGATGTGAACATGCACTCGTGACTCATACATACCCCATAGCAAGCATTTAATGTCGTGATCAATATATCAAATCGCCCAGATTTTTTGGATTTTTAACTAGTTGAAAAACAATCTTATCAGGTAAGAATTTGACGATACATTTAGTGACGTTAATACTTAATTTTCATGTAATTCGTTTTTACAAATATACACCATAAAAAATTCGTGACGTAGTCAATTTAACGACGCCGCGTAGGGATGTTTGTCGTTGCCACTGGTCGACTGTGGCCGCCTCCGACGCCTATTGTTTCTCTCGTAATCTATGTCTCTCTATGGTCGGCACATGGTGGAACCATGCTTGCACAACACTAACCGCCGCACAGCCGCACAAACCGAGGGATCAGTCACCCCCTTCCCCGTCCATACCGCTCGCTTGGTGCGAGAGATAGAATACATATCTACAAACATATAAATACATATAGAATACAGATCTGTATTCGATATCTACGGTGCGAGCGGGCCCGCCGCGTGTACCACACCGTGAACTAGACAGACAGGGCACTCACGGAGAGTTGCAAGTACCTCCGCCAACCGCGGGGACATGCGCCATAGGCCATACGACTCACGAACACACGAATAACCCACGATATACGCCATGTAACATGTATGTGTTACGAGCTGGCTCGGCCGCCGCTTGCTGGCTGCTCGCTGACTGCTGGCTGGAGCTGGCTGTGGCTGGCTGGCTTGACTTCGGACGCGCTAATTATCGATCGCGCGAACAACACTAATAGCACGAACCACGAACCACACAGAACACACTAACACACGAACACACGAAACCGAACACACTCAACACGTAAGACCACGAGAACGATCACATACCCTCCTCCAACTTCCGTGGGCGGAGGTTAACAAATGCTCGCATGAGCCTTAACAACGGGGAGATGATCGGACGTTTGGGTTGGTGTCGCGCGCAGCGACTTCACGGCGATGAACGGCTGTATCGGGTTATCGTTTTGTTTGGCGTTAGATGACTTACACCCCGATATAATACCATGCGTCTAAACAGAGGAATTGCGTCCGAACCTGTGATTGGAGATAAAAATGCCTCCCGCCCACTTTCCGCATTTTTTGGAGGATAAAAAATAGAATTCGTGACGTTTCGTTTCAATCCGGTCATTAGCCCCGCGCGTGCATATTTGCTAATTAATTAGACTAATCGCGCTTCAATAGACACAATTAGCACAGAGATTAAGGCTAAACATTGTGGTCTATAATAGCTAGAATTTATAGAAATATGTAAGCTCCACAATCGGCTCGCTACATATCATAGTTAGGTATCATCAGTTCCTGCTTCCTACAGGTCATGAGATGCGTATGCGGCGGGAGTGGGCGGGGTTCTATTTTGTATCTCCAAGTCACAGCTCGGAGCAATCTCCTTCTGTTTAGACGCATGTATATACCTTCACGGTTGTTTAGGAAAATTTTACGCGATTTTTCATGTTTGCAACTTTATTTCGATGGCTAACACTCATGTGCCACCTGTGTACATGCTCATTTCTCTATAACGGTAGCATAGTGAACTTCAGAGCGGTTTTGCTTGCCGCGTACATGTGTAGTGAGCCGCGGCTGACTCAAGAAAAATGCTGATGTTCTCGCGTTCCAATTTCTACGTTAGTAGTGCGATGTATAAATGGATATTTCCTGTGATTACAACATCGAAGCATTTAATTTTACACTCGTTTTAATGGTAACATATATGCTGTAAAAAAGTGCGCCAGGGATTGTTATTAAGTGACGTATTTTATGAGTCATGTCTCTTTATTCGCAAAATTTTAAATTCAATACGTGCGACTTGAATTTTAGGCAGTTTTTTTTTTCATTTTTCTGTAAATTGAAACTTAAAGAAAATCCTGATGCGTCTATTTGGTAACATATTGTGGCTTAACATGTGGCGAAAATTTGTATCCTCACTCTTCTGGTAATTGAGAAATATCCAAAATACCATTTTTACACAAAAATTCAAAATTTTTGTGGTAACATAATTAGGTGGTGAAATTTCATGAAATTTTTGAGCATAGAGATATATCTCCTCTATAAATAAAACAAGTGATTGATTCGATCATTCGTCAATAAACGTTTAATCTTCATTAGAGCAATACCCGTGCAAAAGGTTGAGAGTATCCTTAACTAAATACTACCAACAAAATACTAACCGACACACCAAGAGGCGAGGTGTTATGGCCCTGTCACACATTGACGATTTAGCCAGCGTATGCCGGACGTATCAAAATTTGGTGAATACGCTGGCGTGCGTCGAATAAGTTATGGGTAAGCTTGTGATATGTAAGAGCACGCTAAAGCACGCGAAGCACGCTGAAGTACGCTGAAGCACGCTGGTATAACGTCGTAGTACGGTGAGGTTGTCTAAAAATTTTGAGCATGCTCAAATTTCCGGACGTATGCCAGCGTATGCCCATACGTCGCCGCATACGCGCGGCCATAGTTTGTAGGTAAGTTATGCGATCGTTGACAGCACGTTCACACACGTAACTTGTAAGTTACTCATAAGTCGAAATACGTCGAGATAATGTCTGCGTACCCAAAACTTATTTCTAACTTATGAGTAACGTGCTTTGAACCTTATGTGTACCTTATCTCCACGCATATTGACGTATGTAGACGTATTTGACGTGTTCGCGACGACGAATAAGAACTTACTGAACGTGTTTCTAACTTACAGCTACGTATAATGGCGTATGTGCAGCGTTTAGGGGAATTGTATATAAAATGGTATTGGCATGTTGATACGCGACGGTGATGTTGATACTGTGATTCTAGTGCGGTTATGATTTGAATCGTCGAGCGGCAGCCTTTTATAGGCTAGCGACACGTGATCGTCGGCGATACCTGCGCGCGCGCTATGCACAAGTTAGACTATCGTGAGCATAAAGTTGTGACGCCGGCACACCGCTGCATTCGTTGGTATACGTTATCTTATAAGTTATCGGAAACGTTCTATATACGTTACTAATACGTTAGTATACGTCCAACTCGTTATGAATACGCTATGTATACGCCAAAATTCGAAAAAAAACATCGATAGTTCAGCGATATGCCAGCGTTTAGAGAAATTTTTGATACGTCCGGCATACGCTGTCTAAATCGTCAATGGTGTGACAGGGCCATTAGGATTGTAAACGATTCACAAACAAAATCGACAGAGTGTGTGCATTTGCCTCACACGAATTTATTATGCAAACTTACAGAATGTGCATGCAGCATGTTAGAGACAGTCTAACCGATGTAGGAAACTATTCTACTCTACCTTTCCACACACGCACGTACACACCCGCACATACACACACACACCTACACAGACACGCACGCACGTACACACCCGCACATACACACACACGCATGTACACACACATGCACACACACACCTACACAGACACGCACGCACGTACACACCCGCACATAACACACACACCATGTACACGACACGATCGTACACACACACGCATGTACACACACATGCACACACACACCTACACAGACACGCACGCACGTACACACCCGCACATACACACACACGCATGTACACACACACGCATGTACACACACATGCACACACATACATCATACACACACGCATGTACACACACATGCACGCACACACCTACACAGACACGCACGCACGTACACACCCGCACATACACACACACGCATGTACACACACATGCACACACATACATCATACACACACACGCATGTACACACACATGCACACACACTCCTATACACACACCTACACAGACACGCAGCACGTAACACACCGCGCACATTACACACAACACAACCGCGTGTACACACACACGCGTGTACACACACACGCATGTACACACACATGCGCGCACACACACATCATACACACCCGCACCTACACACGCCACACTCACACAACTACACACACACACACACCACGCCACGCACGCACGCACGCACGCACGCACGCACGCGCGTGCACACGTACACGCACACGCACACGCACACGCACACGCACAACAAATATATAAAAATGTTTGAGTTACCCTGTTGGGTATCCACCTGCAAAAAAAGAAAAGAAAAGCAAGCGTTAAACAGACCATACACAATGCACACATGCCGTCACGCGGGACTTTACGACCCTTAATAAATTATATTACTGTTAATAGTGTGTTATATACGGTACCTGCATATTGTTTAGCTCGCAAGGGTTATATGACAACATAACACCGGTAATATGAGATCCCATTTCGATTAAAGATTGATATCTCATTTCGATTAAAGGTTGATATCTCATTTCGATTAAGATTGATATCTCATTTTCGATAAAGGTTGATATCCGCATTTCGATTCAAGATGATATCTCATTTCGATGAAAGGTTTGATATTCCATTTCGATTAAAGATTGATATCTCATTTCGATTAAGTTGATATCCCATTCGATTAAGAGATTCGGATATCCTCATTTCGATTAAAGGTTGATATCCCATTTCGATTAAAGATTGATATCTCATTTCGATTAAAGGTTGAGATTCTCATTCGATTAAAGGTGATATCTCCATCTTATTAAAGGTTGATATCTCATTTCGATGAAAGGTTGATATCTCATTTCGATTAAAGGTGAGAAATTACTTTCGTAAGTCAACCGCGTACATAGGTCTGTAACACCTCCGTCCTGTGCTGGCTCACACTTGAACAACCACTATAGCGTTCAATTCGAGTAATGATACTTGCACGATTAACAAATCTATATAACAAGAGCCACCACAACACGCAGCCAACTAAAAAAAAGGCTACCAGCATGAACTATATAGCAACACGCCACGCAGCATAAACTCTGGCCGCCCGTATTGAATTTTATAGCCACGTTTCCACAACACTGACACACGTATACACACCAAATGTACTCTCCGGGAATTGCACTACGAAAGCTAATTTCAACTCGGAATCGACAATAGCAAGAGTCGCACACAGTAAGGTGGCGGGATTTCCACCGTGCAGCCCACGATTCACACCGCGCACGCCATACACCGGGGGCAATGATACAGGAACACAGATCTACAGTTCCTCAACCGTCACAGTCAATCTTCACCGCGATAGGTGTAACGTAGCAGGTAGCAGGGATAATAAATGACCACGCCAACCCTCCTACCAAGCCGTTCCCGTCACGACACTATTCGACAATTAATAACCTCATAAAATCTACCTCATAACCTCATAAATATTCGTCTATAGTCCTAGGGACACATAGAAGACGAGAGGAGAAGCGGATCAAATCGATAGATAAACACTGCGGATTGCCAGTGGAAATGTTGCAATTTTGCAATTTACCAATGATGAAGGAACAAAATTCCAATACGTAATGACAGAAAATTAATCGAACCATCTTGTTGCTAACATAACATCAGGACTGTCATAATATAGAGTAGTATAAGATATATATATATATTGGTGTATATATTATGACACCTGGTAATTATTTTTCTGCAATTTGTTTACTAGTGTTGATGGAGATGAGACAGCGGCGTTTAACTGCGGTGCTAGAGAGTGTTCTTTGGCGTTGCGTCTAATCAGGCCAACCCAGATCTCAAAAGGTTTACAACACTCGTGCGAGTCGGTGAAAAATTCCCTCCGATCTAATAATTTCGCGCCCTTACATTTTCTATTATTATTATTATATATTATAAAGACGCTAAAGATATGTGACTCCAATTGCAGGCTATAATATAGTAATATATATATAATAATATAACTATCAATGGAGTGGATAATAGAGATAATAGAGATAATAGAGATCTCTATTATCCACTCTTGATATATATAGCACTCATTTTGCTAAAACGCGTCAGAAGAACTCTGCAAAATCATCGAATCGAAAAACCCTTCGTCGAAAACATCCCCTCATGTGCCAGTTCCACATTCTAACATAGTAGCTATCCTACTTGCATCTGCCCCAAGGCGCTTTCCCCCTAAGTACGCACAGAACAAACACTGAAGATATTTTAGTTCTGTGCCACGGTGGTCAGTTTAATCGCATAGAAGGAAAATCAGCGGATCTTACAATTCCCTTCAACTAAAAATCCGTTCTTGTGCCAGTTCCACGGTCTAACAATGCAGCTATACTACTTGCCTCAAGGTATGTTAAGGAATGCCCCCGCCCCTCAACAAAGTCACAAAACAAACACTGAATATATTATTCCATGACCAGTTTACTCATACTGAATCATATCAGGAAATGCAACGTATCCGATCGTACAAAATCCCCGCGCCAAAAATTGTTTCACGTCACAGTTCCACAGTCTAACAATGTAGCAACCCTACTTGTATTTGCCTCAATGACTTCAGCCCCCCTATGAATCCTCCAATCCTCTCCACCCCACCTCACCCCCCCCCCCAAATATGCGCAGAACAAGCATATCTACAGGTATCTTGTGGTCAGCCAGCAATACCAAACCCTCTGCACGCCACTGCTAGAGGCCAAACTAAGGAGAGTAGTCGTCGTGGAATTTAACGCGCATGAGCAACCAAGCGCTATGTGGGCCTGGCGACGTTGCACGACACATACCCTCATCCCCCAAGAAAGTTTACAAAGCCAGGCACGTCTGACACGGCAGTATACCGCGAGTATACGTAATCATAGCTCTAGAACTATAGCTCTTCGCTCTGCCACACGCCCTGTCGCAGAGCTAAGAGCTATAGTTCTAGAGCTAAACGTAAGCACGCACCCCACGTTACGTAACACGTCTCGTCCACTGTGACAACGGCACACGGGAAACAAGAAGGCTTACCAGAATTCTCGTCGCTCCCATGTACCCCTCTGCTTATCTCAGTATCACGCGTTCGTCCGGGCAAACCGACAGTTTCCCTCGTACATAGCTCTAGAACTACCCCCTAATCGCTCTGCCACATGCCATAGCCCATTGCTAATCGCTCTGCCACAGGCCTGCATGTACATGTCATTGTGGCAGAGTGAAGATGTGGCAGAGCGAAGGACTATAGTTCTAGAGCTACCACGTACACAGCTCTACTACACTCGCGAGAACTATATACACGCCCGTCGTGCACCAAGCCTACGTCGAACGCTAACCTTCCAGTTCCAGGCCTAATCGTAGTTTTGCACGCCGGATTAGTTTAGCACATATGCGAACGAACTATATATACCGGGGTCCCAAACTATAGGTCCAAAAAGCAGCCTTCCACACTTCCGACCCACATACCACGTCGTATCGACAGCTCACTCCAGCGCGCGTGTACCTACCCAGTTTCCCATGACTCTCGTCTGCCAAGTTATCACGACTCCCCGTCGCAAACGCTATCGAGTTGCACAAATCCGATCTGCACACGCGCACGTCGTCACGCATGCGCGTTGCGCGGCCACTAGGTCGTCGTCGTTGTCGTTGTCTAGGCGACGTGCAGTCCGCGTCGTCTGTGCGCGCTTTCGCCGGCCATCCGACAGTCCTGCCGAATGAACGGAGCGAAGAAAGAAAGACGTGGGCGAAACGAAACGAGACGGATCTCTCTCGACGCCAATTCTCCCTCCGCGCGAAAAAAACACGAATAACCAACGCAAGACCACCAGATGTGCGCGCGTGCGTGTACGCTAGCGGCACTGCCGACTGTTCAGCGGTGTGGTAATTACCCGCCCGTGTAATGCTCCATAATCCACCCCTCGCGTGTACCCACGAACGCCGCCGTCCGACCAAGTAAACACACTCACCGAGTTTCTGTCAGCTCCGGGTAGAGATTCGAGCGTCCGGCCGCCAGACGGCGAAATATCACCACGCTCTTTTTTGCCCCGCACACGGTGGGACGGACGCCGCCCAAGCGTCCGAATTTTCCACTTGAAACCGATCTCGGCTCCCACCAAACTCTCTCCCGTTCGAGAAATCTCCTGCGCGAAACCGACGCAGGGTGCAGTCGGATCAGAAGTGACGTCGTGAGCCCGCACGTGTGCGCACGGCCGAGCGAACTTTGAGCTCTCAGGGCCCGCGGGGGACAACAGTGAGCGGATGGCAGCACGGACAACAATTGCTAGAAATCAGGTTACCGCTGCGTCGGTCGCACACTTCGTAATCATCGCTGCGTGCGTCTGTCGTGCCCCGGGGCCGTGCCGGCGGTGTTTACCAATACAGCTCGCTGCTGCTGCGTGCGTCTACGTTCTGTCGTTGGTTCGCCCTGAACCCATTATTCACATTAGCCTGACATTAGTGATATTTTAGCACGCCCGGCACGCGAAAGATAAATGTTTACGAGGGAAAAAGATTGTTCGATATGGGTATATACCGCCATCTCAACTCATCAGCTGTGTGTGTGCGTGCATGCGTGCGTGCAGGCGTGTGCGCGTGCGCTCGTGTGCATGTGAGGTATGGAATCGCGCTAATGCAGTCCTGTACTTGTTGCACGGCTGGGCATGGGAAATGTTCATTTACGAGTTTTTTGCCCCGAAGATAAACATGTCTGAATCTATCAGCGTTCTGAACACCTAGATTGATTATAAAACCCAGACTGCTTAGCTAAATTATTAGTTCAACAAAAATGTCATATTAAAACAAGGCAACCAGATGGCTTTTCTCACATCGTAAGATATTTAACCCTGGCAGAGACAAATATCTTGAAATCTAGGAACTAAAACAAGAACTCAACGAAGTCAGATTACCATTAGATTATTGTATGATATATTGGAAAACATGCTAATGTGACCTTTAATATCTTTTTTACTAGATAAATTCATGTCTAAATTTCTGACTCAGATTCACTTAACTACCCACAAGGGACTGGGTGAGACTGGTAGTGAGCTTTTAACGTATAGCTCACATAGCAAGCCAAGACAAATAAAGGCTGGTACTTTAATATAAGGGTGTCACTTTCCCCTGGGCGTAGATGAACAAGATGGCGTCGGTGGCGTAGATCATACTAGATGCTTCAAAGTCCAAATCTTCCACAGAAAGATTCCACAGTCATACTTCCGTGCTAGACATGACCTTATTATCCTAACCCTAACCCTAACCCTAACCCTGACCCTAATCCTAACACAAGTGCAGCCACATCACGTGACCGTCCATCTACGCCCGGGGGAAAGTGTTTCCCGTACTTTAAAGCTGTCATGGAAAGTGGCGCCACCGTGTGTTCATCATACTTATATATAATGTAAACACACTGAAACTTAGGCTCATAGGGTTTATGTACACCAGGGTACTGCCGGAACGTACCCTGGTAACTATCTAGCTGAAATGGTTAGAGTTACAAGGGTTAGGGTTAGTGTTAGGGTTAGGGTTAGGGTTAGGGTTAGGGTTAGGGTTAGGGTTAGTGTTAGGGTTAGGGTTAGGGTTAGGGAGTAGGCGTAGGCGACTCCCTAGACTCGTTAGTGGAGTAGGCAAGGTACGGTCCGACTCAGGCATATTAGATAGTAGTATTTAGTACTAGGGTACGTTCCGGTATACCGGACCGTACCCAGGGTACGTTCCGGCAGTACCCTGGGGGACATAGACCCTCTCAGCGGAACTTAGTCTCTTCCATATATTCTCCACTTGCATGAGGTACCATTCTTCTTTTAAACTACGACTTGATCATGGGGTGTTATTTTGTCTTATGTGTGCTGAATCCACATAGAAAAAATAAACACTTTATAGATTAATGTTTCAAGTATTTATTGAAATAATGAGTAACAGACTGTTGTTAAATCAAGCTACCACAAATATAACAACAAAGTGAACACCCTTAAAATATATGTACATTTGAATAAAGTACCCGATAATACTGAATAATTGGGATAAATTGTATTAAATTATTGATAATGATATTGTATTGTAATAACGGGCAGTGTGATTGAAATAACTACTAATATTATAGTGTGATTGGAGTAACTTCATTGGAGTAAAACACATATAAGTGAATACACTTGTCTACCACATACACCGACTGCATACCCAATCACACACACACACATAAGAATTCATGTATGCACACACACGCACGCACGCACGCACGCACGCACGCACGCACGCACGCACGCACGCACGCACGCACGCACGCACGCACGCACACACACACACACACGCAACCCAACCCACACACGAATGCAAATATGTACAGACAAAAGCAAGCACACATGCACTTACTCACGCGCAAGCTTTGTATGAAATATAATTACCACAAAATAAAAACAAACTTCTAGAAATTGTCACACTTAAAGGCGGGCTTATGTCGGGCTTGCGAGCCGACTCGACTGGAAGCAACTAGCTGCGATTGCAGTGCTTAGGTCGGTCGACTGCGTCGCGACTGCCTGCGACTGGCCGCCACTAGTTGCTCGGAATAGAACAGTGGGCAACTGGACGCAATTAGTCGCTGCCGATCGCTTCCAGTTGCTCGAAATCCAGTTTCTTCCGGTCGAGTCGGCTCGCAAGCCCGACATAAGCCTGCCTTAAGGAGCCATCTAGCTAGTAGCTACCATGGTGCCATCTATCCACAACAAAACTATTAAAAAGTTTACTAGTAACAGCTTCCCATACATTATTGAAAAGCTGCTGCCAACATTTGTTGAACTGTATTATGTTTTATAGCTTTCGTTGTGTGTTTCGAAAACAAAACAACATATAGTGTTCGAATGCTTCTAATAATGTGACAAGCTGTCAATCAAAATACAGCAGGTGCCATAGACTGGTCAATTGACTCAATACCAAACGCAATTACTTTCTATGGATTTTTTTAAATCCGTGCTCACACATCTTGTTTTGAGATTACCACAACGTGGACTATATATATATATAGAGGAAATATGTCATTGCTCATCGCACAACAACTCGAATATATGTTTGCATCCACACGCATAAAATTTCAGTAACATGAAGCACCAATATCCATAGGTTCTACCATGAATGTGTGACAGATGTCTAATGAAGCTACCTGCAGGGTGCGAAATTAACAGGAGTCCGGAGTCAAATACTCCCTGATTTACTGTCGGACTCCCTGATTTGACATATGCAGGAGTCCGTGTGACTCCATTTATTCTGTCATACTAACTAGTTCGTTCCGTGCTCGCGGAATTACTGTATTTTTTCAGCTAATGTCCAAAGAAAATTTGGCAGATGTGCAACTGCATGAATCTTAAAAATAAGCACATGCGTTATTGTTAAAATATCTTTAATTTTGAACCTCAGACTGCGGACTCCCTCATTTTGCTGCGGACTCCCTCTTTTTGGGGGTAGGGAGTCCAACGTCCCTTGTTCAAAAGTTAATTTCTACCCCTGTACCTGCTTTATTCCCTCACGAGTCAAAGATAAGTGATTTATCTTTGGTTCTTGACACAGCAACCATGTTACACTTGGAGTGCACAACATAAACAATACATTTTATGTGCCCTTTTATTGATTTTGGTACTAATCAGTCCGTATTTTTGAGGATAATATTGTGAAACCATACATTGTATTTTGTGTATGAAAGCAAAATAGTGGAGATTAACGCTGGTTCTTCTTGCAGCATGTCACAACACCACTTGACACTTTTTGGAACAATTTTTTGAATGACGTTGCAAATATTTGTAGAGCCATGTGCAATTGGCTTGATCCACCTTAGTTACCATATATATCAGAAGTAGATAATAGGGAAGAAGTGTGACTTCAATAAACAAGGGAAATTCGTCATTTACTACCCTTAGAATACCTACGATTTACTACGCGTAACTCAACCAACTTCAGCTCAAATCGTACACAGTACATTCGCCTAGCATCGTGCGAAATCGTTTCCTCGCAATCCGGAGATACAGACGAAAACGTATGACACGATTTTCTATTATGTTGCCAGCAAACTGAATGTGTAAACCGCCTGTGTAAACAAAAGGCAGCTGTAAATAGGTCAAAGATTAGCTCAGCGAGCCACACCGCATCGCCGAGGGCGCAAGAGTCGTTAGTAGCTGCTCTTTTTTTCGAGTTAGGCGGTTTACACATTCAGTTTGCTGGCAACATAATAGAAAATCGTGTCATACGTTTTAGTCTGTATCTCCGGATTGCGGGTGTATATGAGAAAACGATTTCGCACGATGCTAGGCGAATGTACTGTGTACGATTTGAGCTCAAGTTGGTTGAGTTACGCGTAGTAAATCGTAGGTATTCTAAGGCTAGTAAATGACGAATTTCCCTTGTTTTTTGAAGTCACACTCCTTCCCCATTATCTACTCCTGATATATATATACCTTAAACTCATGTGTAAATGTACATGTATTACAAAAAGATATTTCTGCCAACACTATATTCTGATCTCATAACATTATTTCTAAGTATTATCATAACATTAATTATATATACCTAATCTTACTATGTCACTGAAAAAAGCCGCTGATATTTATGATAGGTTTAGGGTTTACCCGGTTTAGTAAAGATTAGGAAAAGTTCGGCTAACTTCGACTCCAAGATCGAATGTATCATTGCCATTGGATGCCTGCTGTCAGTCGTGACGTCACGACGAAGTTAGCCGAACGCTATGCGCATTGCGAATCTGTACGTCACAGGTCAACAGAAATGGCGCTGGAAGTATCGCCGCTCGTCACTTCGAATTTTTGTAACAGGTTATATTAGTTTAAAATACAGAGTATTGTGATATATATAGTAAGTTCCAGGATAGCGGAGAAAGGTTCGTGTTGAGAATAAACCCAGTTTGGAAGTTCTAGTCGCTGAAAACGCACCAGCAAACCGCCCTGAGTGATTCACTCAGGGGTTCCTCCACAGAAAAGGATAGGCTCGCGTTGTAACCCTAACCTGTGTTTGGGTTACATTATTGTATCTACGTGTGACCACAGGCACTTGGAACGTCTCAATAAAAAAAATTAATGGTAAATAAACACAAAATGTACCAGTCTTAATGTTTCTCTAATCTATTTCGCCTATAATCACCTGTAAATGCTGGTCAAATGCTCATTTGCAACACACAAGTACACCGCACGCCCGCCCTGTGCTGCGTGCACAAACAACATGAATAAGAGAGCAGGTAGGAAAGCGGGATTGAAAAATTCGTTCGACGCTCACTTCATTTCACACGATCACAGAACGAAAACACATCCAACAGCTCCCATCTTGGTATCTATGTGTACATAAATGTTCACTTGTTCGAATTATAACTCTGGCCTTTGTTCTTACCTACTCCCGCCAGAGATATCTCGTGAAATCCTGCAGGAAATGTTCTCTCCGTGAAAATGTAGAGGACGTTATGATCCGAAAACCCCTAACGGCACTACTTTCGATCAATCGCTGTAGTCGTGTGTCGTGACGTCATGCCCGCGCGTAATGTGCTTATTTTCCTTCATTTGATATTAGTAAATAAATACTTAAATATACTAGTATAGATCACCATATATGCAATTTTTTTATAAATGACACTGCTGAGGGACCAGAGTTGTTTTGCGTTCTTTGAAAGTTTCCGTCTATTGCAGTATTGCTCTTAGTCTTACTCTTAGTCTTAGGTATTTTACTGTTCACCAATATGAGTTGTTTCATCAGAACCATCTAAGCTGGAAAAACCAGAGGTGACAGTGCATGTATAATGTGCTTCAATATCGCTTAATGATCGGTCACGTCGTATTACTAGACATAAATTGTGCCCTAAAGTATTTTGATGTTATTTTAGGGTAAACTAAACCTAAGATACATTCAGCAATCTAAAAATTTTTAGGGCACAATTTTATTGGACTAGTATTACCGTGACGACTGCACGCCGTCCAGCACAGGACCTTGGAACGTCTCAATAAAAAATTATGGTAAATAAACACGAAATGCTTCCAAGTTCTTATGTTTCTCTACTCTATTTCGCTATAAATCACTGTAAATGCGTCAATGCTCATCGTGCACAGCAAGTACGCGCAGCCGCCCTTAGCTCTAGTTACTATGCCGCTTATATTAATGCCGCTGGCGGGATCTGCGGAAATGTTCTCTCGTGAAATGTAAAGAGGACGGAGATGTCTTGTTTTACACCGAGTAATGGGGCGCCATGCATGCCGGGAGGCTGCGCGCCTCGGCTCGTTTCGAGGCCCGC